GTTCGATATTAATCGATGGACGGAAATAAACATTGAAAGTGAGAGTGTTTTAGTTGTAGGTTTTGGGTCAATACCTAAATGAATATGATAAGTTGCAGTTGTATTAAAAATCTATTATAATATACAATATCCATGCAGTGCGTTAACAAATCGATTTCAGCCTGATTTTGAAGTTTTATATGGGAAGTCCTTACTATTGTCGAAATGCAATATAGACTAGGTTTAGAATATGGAAAGTAGCAGTTTAAATATTTTGATTTATCAGTTTAAATGAATACTGATATGTCATACTATGTGGAGCTCATATTTAAATAATGACTCCGCAGTCTGAATTCCATCGCTTTCAACTTACAATTACTCAGGCATAAAGTCCCAAGTAAGCAAAAGAACAGACATTCTTTGTTTTAGAATTTTATTGTTGAACTTTCTTGCCATTAACTATCATTCTTGATTCAGTCTGTGGCAATTTAAACACATTTTTGCTCCAGCATAGAATCTTATGAGAAAGTTGCATGAGCTGTGTGACTGATAGGCTCAGTAAAGAGATAGTTGGTCAAAATACATTCCTTCATTACTGTTGTTCTCTTATTGAACACTTTGATTCTGGCTTTTGTCATAGTGTGTCTTTCTTTCATATTATCTTGCTTCGCGATACGTAAGAATATTGAGCTTCTGATAGAATACGAACATTTTATTTCTGTTTTCTCATAAGAGAAAAAGGGTTACGAGCACGGCATTTCTAGAATAATTCAATAATCTCGAAGTTTTCACTGCAAGAGGAACGCTAGCATTAAACGAGTATGTCTTGTATTATTTGTGACAAGAAAGACTAAAATGACGGATATGAAACTCGAATGTCTCATCATCCGAAGAAAATGAAGCATTCAAACTACCGATTGTGTTTTTTTAATACTCAACGGTAGCAAAATCAGTGTGAGCATTCAATGCAGACAACTCTGCGCTTAAGAAAAGTATCGCATGGACAAGAGAAATCAATCATAGATGGTAGCAGAAATGAAAGAGTTAAGAGAATCAGAAAGACAGGTAAAATGCAAGAGAGATTGACATCTAGCAATGATTGGTTAACATTTGGATACGAGTCGTTTCTTTTGGACCGAGCACTTTGTACACTAATAGACATTTTGCCTGGCAATTTTTGAAACATAATTATAAATGAGTGTTCAAAGTATATAGCAAGAAACTTGAACTCATCCCTGCTCCATTGACCGTGATAGACAGCACGTTTTTTTTTAACCTCAGAATGTATATTCTAAAATGAATATTTGAATAATTATTTATTTGACATTTTCGGTGGATTGTGTCAAAGTTTTTTGAAAAATGATAAATAATTCATGTAGTTTCTCTGACTCTCTGAAACACGTTTTTTCAACCACTGTCTATATAAATATGAATTATTGTTTTGTTTTTTGCTCCGCTTTTTGCAACTCTTTTACTTTAATTCGCAAGACTGTAAAGCCTTGGGCATTGATAGGTAATTTTAAAGAACGTATTCCTGTGTACGCGTCTGTTGGTCAATCTGTATATCATTTTTTAAATCATTTTCTATATAGTCGTATGATATTATTTCATATTTTCTACTTCGGGTTGGTTTTTTTTCATTGATTTATTCAATCTTTTCTTAAGTACGAGTTTTAATGAGTACTTTTAGTATCTTCGAAAAGTGAACCATAATCACATGAAAAATGAGTAAAATCTTGATGTTGCATTTTCTTCAGGCACAAATAATATGACAGATGCTGAAAAAAGAAGAAAATGCAGTCTTCGTATACTTTGGGTGTGGGTGTGGGTCTGAGTCTTCTCCACATCCATTCCTACATCCGCATCCATCCTCACCAATGTCTCAAATATAAAATCAGACTCATACGTGCATTTAAAATTCGCATTCTACTTATTTACTCGACAGGCAAGCACCAAAATAATCAGGAGTACCTTAGAAGAAAGATGTTGCCCTATGCGAGTATCTACAACATCTAATCAGAAGAGGAATACATGAAGCATATACCATTATCAACAATATTCTTATTCAGTAACAAACAATACAACTGACACTAGAAAAAAAAACAAAAATAATGTTCATTCTGACATATTCTAATCAGGAATCGATCGTGTTAGCAGCTAGAATCATACGAATCTGTAAAAAACTATCATCACTAGTAATTATTCTAATAGCTTATCAAAAGCCGTCAATACTAAATAGGTTATTTCTTCGTCATCAAAAAGAATTCGATGAAAAGAAGAAAAATTAAGGAATTACTTCATATCTTGCGAATTATAAATTCGATTCTAGCATATCTGAAACTCTGATTCTCGAAAGTAAGTGGCTTAGAAAAGTGATTGGCAAAAGTTTGCTAAGAGAAGAAAACTAAAAAATATTTCAATAACGTGAAATTCAAGATAAAACTCTTTGAAAGAGCATTATCGTGTTCAATTGGCATTGTTTTAGACGTCCGTCAGTTTTACGAACATGAATTCACGTCAGTTAATGTGTCTTATTGTGATCTTGGTAGATTGAGGATCTTCTTTGCTTATACAGCTAGCGCACATAACGTGACATTTCGCTAATCAAGTACTTGAAAAGTTTTTGTTTTCGAGTTGGGCAGATCTGCGCGCATTATTAATTAGGTGCGGTTTTTTATGCTAATTACGAATTTTATATTTGTTCTTTAACACATTTAATTCTACTAAAGAGTACTTCTAACATAAATTCTCATGTACATTCAGCTTTCGATAAATGAACTCGTTCATCTTTTCAGTCTATGCTTTCAGTTGTTTTTTATTTTTTCGTCTTCTATCATAATATGGGCAGCTCTCTCTCGTTGAACTGAATAATTCCTCAAGTATCTTTTTCTCTTTATTTCACATATTGTGAAGAAGGAAGGAGATGAGAGGGATGAAATTTCTACTTTTTTCTTTTCCGTTTTTTTCTTAACCATCTCTTTTATTATTATGTCTTTTCTGTAGAAATAGCTGATTTTCTTCGACAAAAGAGGAAGAAGAAGCAAGACGATAGAAAGAAAGCTGTTATTACTCGACTATTCCAATGATGGTCTCTATCAGATTCTAATTTTATTGCATCTCACTATGATCCTCTCACGTCATGAAACTTCAGTTGGACACATGCTGCTGATTGGGATTCGGTTTTGATTGTTTTACAGAGAAGTGTTATGCTATGCAATAAACGGTTCAAAAAATATCAAAGGCAGAGCAGATGACACATTATGCATAGCTTCTTGTCTAAGGAAAAGAAAAAAGAGAATGTTTGTCTATTAAGTTTCTTCTTAACATACAGAATAACCAACCGATGGGTCACATCGCCTCGAATAGGCTCAAAAAAAAATGATTTTGGCATCGAAAACTAACTTTCAAACTCTTGAAAAATTGTATTTTGAATTTCCTAATCAAGAATTTTAAAAAAAGTCGAGTACCATACCATTTGATGCAGAATTCAATTCTTTACGAAAATCACCTATTTCTTGTTTACTGTTATTACAGAGGACAACCAATATATTTTTGTACAATTTCTAGCTTCCTGTATAGTTAATGAGTTCCCGTTTGATTTTTTTACCGCTTGAAAGTCCGTTTAATGATCTGCAAAATAGACTCTAGAAGCGTTTCATTCGGAGAAAAACTTTAGCAAGAAACTAGAGTTTTATCAGCGGCACTCAAGGAAAAAAGGTCTTTTTATGTAGTAGTGTTAAGCGATAATAAAACCCTCTTAGAAGCCCGAGACTTCAGCCAAAAGACGTCTTTCTTATAGCATAAATAGAGTATGATAAGCGGTATCGAATGGCCTTTGAAGAAACTTTCTACATATTAAACCTTCCGATATAATTGAAAAGTGTGTCAAAATGTAACAGCATTATGTTTGGACAAGCTGTATAGATCCCTCATTTTTTTCATTTCTGTCAATACTGAGAAAAACGCAGAATTTTTTTCAAATAATAACAATCATCGTTCTTCTGGACACAATCAAACAAGCCTATGAACAAGTCACTCGCGACATGTGTCGCAAAGCATGCCGTTGTGTTGATCAGCTACTTCGTGATTGCTTAGACAATCAAGAGCAATTTCTGTTCAACCGGCTTTGACGCATTCTATATGGCAAATACTGGCTGTTTGTGTGTATTTTGTGAGTTTCAGGACACCCAGTATACTCTATGCTAGTGGTCATTTTGTTACAATTAGATTTCACGAATAATAGTGGCATTCAAGTAAGCGAATCATCGGCTTTCCAAATCTATGTCTCAATCATGTTCTTATACATTAAAATATATTCTGTGATAGGTTCCTGACAAAAACTAGTATATCCTAGTATACAAACGGTTAATTTTCCATGTTTCTAGAGATTATTTTCGTGTGACTTTACAGACACCAAAGAAAATTTTTCAATGAGAAGTATCCAGAAAGTTATTAATCCTGTAGCGATAAGTTATGCGTCTTTTTTTAATAGGCGCATTCGAAGAGAAACAAAAACCTTTCTCAATATGAACCTGCGAACATTTGAATAGTGTGGAAAAATAACACCTCTGCTCTGATTCGATAGAGTATCTTATGAATCTCGGAATATGAGTGATATTGATTTTAAAAGTCGATCGTCTACGTTCACTACACACCGACACATATCAGCGAACTTAAAGGCCACGTTTTATTGAAACCTAGACGTGATCCATTCTTTTAAATCCGGCCTAATGAACTGAAGTAATTAAGTGATTGCTCTTAACACTTAATATCAAATTACACTCCTTCGAGAGAGAAAGGAAGAAATATCGCGCAACTCTCACCTGTGCGCTTTCACTCCCCTCCACATGATTACACGAGGGTCATTTCGTGAATTAACCTTTCTTCGCTTCTCAACAATTTCAAAATGCAACTTTCACTGACATCCACGATTTCAGTGTACGTAGAGTTCAACAATTTTACACTCTTCAAAATTTCTCCACTCAATCGCTGTGCGCATAACTGAATAATTGTCTAGCCTATTACTCACTAACAGTATTACCTCCTCCTCCCCCTGTCGTAGTTGTTGTTGTTGTTGTTGTAGTTGTTGTTGTCTCTGTCGTAGTCGTTGTTGTTTCCGTGGTAGTTGTTGTTGTTTCCGTAGTAGTGGTTGTCGTTTCTGTCGTAGTTGTTGTCGTTTCCGTGGTAGTTGTTGTTGTTTCCGTTGTAGTTGTTGTCGTTTCTGTCGTAGTTGTTGTCGTTTCCGTGGTAGTTGTTGTTGTTTCCGTTGTAGTTGTTGTTGTTTCTGTAGTAGTTGTTGTTGTTTCCGTTGTAGTGGTTGTCGTTTCTGTCGTAGTTGTTGTTGTTTCTGTCGTAGTTGTTGTTGTTTCTGTCGTAGTTGTTGTTGTTTCCGTTGTAGTTGTTGTTGTTTCTGTAGTAGTTGTTGTTGTTTCTGTCGTAGTCGTTGTTGTTTCTGTTGTAGTTGTTGTTGTTTCTGTCGTAGTGGTTGTCGTTTCTGTCGTAGTTGTTGTTGTTTCTGTAGTAGTTGTTGTTGTTTCCGTTGTAGTTGTTGTTGTTTCTGTAGTAGTTGTTGTTGTTTCTGTCGTAGTGGTTGTCGTTTCTGTCGTAGTTGTTGTTGTTTCTGTAGTAGTTGTTGTTGTTTCCGTTGTAGTTGTTGTCGTTTCTGTCGTAGTTGTTGTTGTTGTCGTTGTTGTTGTTGTCGTTGTCGATGTTGTCGTTGTCGATGTTGTTGTTGTTGTTGTTGTTGTTGTTGTTGTTGTTGTTGTTGTTGTTGTTGTTGTTGTTGTTGTTGTTTTTGTTGTTGTTGTTGTTGTTGTTGTTGTTGTTGTTGTTGTTGTTGTTGTTGTTTTTGTTGTTGTTGTTGTTGTTGTTGTTTTTGTTGTTGTTTTGGTTGTAGTAGTAGTAGTAGTTGTTGTTGTAGTACCTAAATCAATGTGATGAGTTGTGTAAAAATGAAGTGGGAGAAGTGAAGCACGGCACTGCGTTGTGTTTTAAAGGTACAGGTGGTGGGCTGGGAGTAAGTCCATGGGATACAACCTGAATGATTTTGAAGACTGCTGCAAATGGGAGCTAACGCGGCATGGCGCTGAAGACAGAAACAGATATATGGCCATGTTTCACTGTCTGAAGGTTGGCGCAATCATGGCGTCCCTAGGGCGGTTGGGATAAATACAAGGAGGTTATCGGTAGCAACAAGCAGTGAAAAGTACAACTAGTGACGGATTCGCAGGGTGTCCTGGTTATGTTTGTGAAGTAACGAGACTGTTAATGATGGAGCGAATATCTAAGAGATTGTTGAGACGATATTCTGAAGTACAAGCCTCGAATATTCTTATTGGAAAGAAATTGAACACTTGAGCATTTGAACCCATCCAGTGTTTACATGTTTAACCACTCTATTTGAAAAGTAATTTTTCAAAACAAGGATGTCTTTGATTTCTACACTATTGTATGAAATCACACAGTTGTGTAGTATCAGATTCGGCCCATACTATAGAGTTTTTATTGAATTTTCCTAGATTATGTTAGGCAGCAATAATGAGTTCGTCCCAATTTTAGTCATTAGAAATTATCTAATTCACACATCGCTTCTCCATAGTGGTATCTCAGTATGTGGAAATTTATGAGTAGCAAAAGTTTATCTGCTGTATCGATCTTTGAATAGGAAAGATTCAGTGAGCTGGCTTCTTGAGCACCTTAAAACATGAAAAATCTCCTTACCTGCTGGAAGGCACACATGACTCAAAATAACATTTGATGCAGTTCCATCCGTCACGTTTGCCCAACAGCCAAGGAGGGTATCCGTTGTTGGTGTAAACAGATAAACATCCTTTGCAGCTGGGTTATACGTTTGACTAATGTTGCCTGATTTTAGAAAGGCGCAATTGATCGACCAGAAGTTTGCTGATGCGCCCGAGAGTACAAAATGCCAACCATAAGTATAGTTATTTGGAGATGTTGGACAACTACCAGTGACATATGCTGTATCTGTCGCATTGACTTGACTCGTCTTGAGATAAATAATAAAGCCTCCTAAAATAAATACATTTTTAAAGTGTTTTC